TGCAACAAGGGAGGCGCCGCGTTGGCTACAGCCTTTTGTGGCGTGAAAGTTAACTTAGACACGTTGGCATAACAGCGGCTGGGAGGATGTGCCACTGGTTCAGTCCGTACCCTGAACGTCACTTATCAGTAAAGACACGTTGATATTAGCTGGTTGGTTAGCAGCATTTGATTTCAGCGCACCTCCTATTCTGTTTTGAATTCTGTCCTCGACTTTTTTCGTGAATTACTTCTTTAGACAATGCTCCAGGTCTGCCGACATTGGATGAAGATTTCCAAAATCTCTGAGTTTTGCGAAAATTCCCATTTTACGGTTAAAAAGCCATTTTGGCAAACAATCGTCTTCAGTCATTGATCGTCAGGCCGGTACAATGACAGGGAAAATTACACAGCATGTTCGGTACAAAGCTTGTTTGCTTCTCGTGGTGGGAGAGGGGTCAGTCATGAGAACCACCACAAGGACAATGTCAATGTACCGGATTGACGATGAATGACTGAAACCAATTGTTTGCCAAAACGACTTTTCCATCTTGTAGTTTATTTGTGGGTTTTTGTTGGAGGTCCTTGGTCAGAGCCTACGAGCAACTTATCAAGTAACTAGCCCTTCTTGACTGCGGTGGATGTCCGCACCGCAGCTTGTTTCCTTTTCATCTCTGCCAACTGACGCATTTACCGGACACACAATCAGTCCAGTGTGTAGGATGTGTGAAGTGGCTGATAAGTATGCGTAGTACCGCTCAGTCGATGACTGAATGGTTACCCTGTCTCTGAAGGATGATGTTCCAGGCTAAGTGGAGGGCTGTTCCCCACCCTTCTGAGATTTAGGGATTATGTGCGTTAGCAATGTTAAGCTTCAGCAAACCATTTTCCCTGCGGCCTGGCGTGCGCTGGCAATTTTCTTGGATGTGATTCCCTGTTGGTCTATGCGCTTACACTCCCGCTGGGTTTACAGACTGTGTACATGGTTGCCTGGTCAATTGTATCTTCTCCCTCTGATCCAGGGGAGTTAATACCGGCTGGGGGCGCCTAGCAAAGGTGCAGGCGGCGTGGTTGCGGTAGTGTATGTAACGCCCTCGTCTTTGTAGTCGCAAGGGCCACTAGGCTAGTCGCTCCGTGCTCATCTTACGAAACTGATCTTTCTGAGTATGGTGGCACGCTGAGGGGCAGCCTCGGTCGCATCACCCACCTGCGCCCTCCCCCATCTCCGGTTATCTCGACTATTGTCTTGACACCGAATACAGGTGCGGGAATTGGGAGAGAGTGGGGTAGAGCTCGCGAGTCTACTTTCACTATATCCCAGCTTGAGTCAATGTGTTTGCCTTCGACTTTCTGAGGCTCTTGGTGGACATAGTTGAAAACGACGGTCTAACTGTCGGGTGTCCAGACTCAGAGGAAACTAACCACATGTCGAGACTGGAATATTTACACTTTAAACCGATGGTTACGTATTGTAAGTACTGGGCATGCTTCATTCGGTACTTCACTTATTAAGTTTGCAAGGCCTACTCAAATGTCAACTGTTTTTTTTTCAGCCCGTAGAACCAAAGCTTCCAAGAAGGAAGAATACTTATCAAGTGAGTGATGCTCAAGTTTAACGGTTCATTTTGAGCAAAATTGGGGTTTTTAAGAGTCCTCTCTTATGATTGTCCGAAGCATATCACCAATATTGGTAAACGGTAATCGGGAGTTTAAAGACATAATTAATTGGAGAGTTGAATAAATAAACATGCGAAACGAGTATTAAAATTGGCAGTAAAATTCGATGTGGTTTATTTGCCGTTCTGTGTGAGTTACCTGTTCTTTCTTCCCTTTTCGCAGTTAAACATTGCTGTATCTGCTATTTATGTAATCCAGCAAAGCAATAAACAGGCTCTTTCTTTTTTCCTCCTACTCTGCTTTTCGAAACGCCGGACTATAAACATTTTTCCTCTTTATGCTTTCGTCGAAACTGTGATACTTGAGTGACGTTCAAGTAGAGAGCAACTAGAAAATACAAATTAGTCCTCGTTGATTTTCTTTAGTTTATTAAAGGTTGCATGATCAGAGACTGAAGTTGGCCGTTGAAAACTCTTCAGTATATGAAGTTATCCTTTTCTCTTAGTTAATATTCTCAGTAACTCTACATAAGTGTAATCGGTAAACAGTATTACTACGTCGTAGGAAAAAGCAAAACACATGAAATTTGACTCTTTGACTGAGTAAAAACACCGCTTGTCTCGAGAACATAGGGCTCAAGCACGATACTAGTTTTTTTATATAGCAGGATTTTTTTGCTGCTCATTGACTAATGCGCACTGGATTTCCATGGGTTTCAAAGTAAATATGGTAGCAACGAATGCACTATAATTTCTGTAATATTTTAGGCCGTAATGCGGATACTCGTGCGTCGTTTCATACATTTGTCCAAGAAGAACATGAGACAAGGCACGGTTAACGAAGATGACCTACTTGAGATAAAACAGGACATTTCCAGCCTCCGGTAAACTTATTTTTGGCTTGCTGTGCCCCGGTTGTTATTGACTTATTCATACTAAGGATTGGTGTAGCAAGCAGACACCTATGGGCACTATCCGTTTTAATAATTTGACTTTTAGCCATTGTCCAGATAACCTGACGCTAGTTCTTGTCGTGTAAGGCTTCTATTCGTGTAATAAACATAGGTTGACGTGTTAATGCCTTAAAAATGACAACCGTATCGGCTTCTCTGTTGCCAAAATTTGTTTGGACCCCTATGGCGCTTCCTATTCTGCTGTCCACATTCATGTAGAATATTAACCGGAACAGTCAGATATATAATTTCAGCGCGAACACGCACGCGCAGGTCCACTGTGACACCTGTAGTTGGTCACACTTAAGCAGCTGTAAAGTTCACTTTTAAATATATTTGTTATCTTGAGTTGACCCAAGTGTGAAAAACTCTAGGCGTTTGGCGGGATTTGAACC